AAAAAAAAAGACATATTTTGGAAAATTGTTCTATCATTACATCTTTATTTTATTTCTTCAAACTCTGGCTAGTTTTCCCTCTCTCCATTTACAATATCAAAGCAACTGCAATTATTGCACAAGGGCTATTTATTACCTGATAAACAGCTTCCGGCTGGTGGGTGTGACGCCGGCTAAGATGCAAGAGCCGTGGCCCGGTGGTTTTGACCAGAGCGGCGAGGGTAATAAGAGGATTAGGGTCAGGAAGCTGAATCGCGTGAGATCAGTGTTTTAAAACGCGTATAGCGTATTGTGTCGCGTTTTATACTGCGTAGCGTAAATAACGTAGCGTGTTGCGTAAGCTATTCGAACAATTCACTTTTAATGCCAAAAATAATAATCATTCAAGCAAATAAATAATTGAAATGGTTATAAACTAAATGGACATTAAATTTAAGACATAACATTCAAATATTAAATCATACAAACAACCCAAAGCCCTCGTCATTAGCATAAAGTTTATTCATTTGTCCACTAATCATATCATGCTTGTTCACCAGTCACAATAGTAATATCATAATCTCTTCAGTTATGTTTGGAATCTTTAATCCCATTTTCTCAGCCTTAGTGATAAACAAACAAACAATCAATTTCGTTTAATTAATATTTTCATATTTTCAAAACAAAAGTTCTTAGACTACTCAAAACAAAACTGGACATATTTTCATATTTTGATTAAATTCAAAGCACAAGTCGAAACAAGACTACTCGAACTTGATTTGTGTTCAATTCATTTAAAGCTCATTGAGGCTCCCGTAGTCCCGTTACATGAATAAATAATAAATAATGGACAAGTACAATCTTGAGGATTGTTGGAAAATAACTATAAGGGGTCCCTGCCTTCATTTACACAGGAAATAACCTCTAAAGCAAGCTTAAACAAAGAGCAACCTTCAAATCTCTATTCTTTTCAAGTAATCATCAGGCACTGGGACACCAGACACACAAGAAACCCTAATACAAAAGATAGAAATTCATCT